AGTCTTTCTTATTCTGCATTGGTCTAGGTGTCTGACCTATGTAAGTGTTTGCACCATAATTCTGACATTATACTTTTCCCTTTTTGTGGTTTACCAATTTTTATGTTAATAAAACTATGGAATATTTGTTTATCAGGTATGAACTTTGGAAACCAAATCTAAGATCAATGATGGAGTTTGACATGAAAGAAGTTAGCGTAGGCAATAAGAGTAAACACGAAGTTTTGACAACTTGCTTGCAACAGATGAAAGCTTGCTTCTTAGATGTAAGTTAGTCGTTAATATATTCTACACTACAAATGCAACCTCTTCAACTGCTGTATAATTTGAAAAAACCAAAGAAACAAATATTTTCTTTTGATAATATTGATATATTAAGTTAAAACCCCATTTGGCCCTCTACTTTAACAAAAAGCCCCTTTTTAGTCCTTCTACTTAAGAAAGCTCCTTTTTAGTCCCCCTATTATCTTTTTGCACATGTGGTGTGTTAGATGATGGAAATTCTAAAGTAGAAGGATGAAAAAAAGCCCCTGTTTGGTCTCTCTACTTTAAAAAAAACCCCTTTTTAGTCCCCTACTTTGGGATTTCCATTATCTAATGTGCTACATTTGCAACAAGATAGTGGAAGGACTAATTTGTGGCTGGATAATAAACTTCAGGGACTAAAAAGGGCTTTCTTAAGTAGAGGGACTAGAAAGGGGCTTTTTGTTAAAGTATAGGGACCAAATGGGGTTTAAACTGATATATTATTGATGAGACTTACCATGTAAGTTGCTTAATTTCCCTGTTGATTTAAGTCAACTTCATGCCTCAATTATTATTGATGGTAGTTTATTAAGTTTGTTGAGATCTTAAATATTGTGATTATATATTATCACTGAAGGTTAGATGATAATTTTAGATTGGTGGGATAATTTAGTGATTCACCCATCATTGGCTGTGTAGTTTTTATTTCTTATGCAATTTAGGGTAGTTACAAACACTTGGAATATATCCTTCTGTTTTTAGTTTGATCAATGTCATATTTTATAACAAGCTGGATGTATTCGCAGGCAAGACTGAACAAAATAAAACTCTTAGAGGCAATGGAAGTTTTCTTTGAAAGGTAGTTTATTACTTTCATATAGTGTTAGAGGCAAAAGTCTTTTGTCATCTTGCTAATTACTTAAACAGATCAAATAGATCCACTGGAGATGAGCACCATACAGCTGGAGAAGTAGTCCGAAGTTGTGGACTCTGCCAGGAAGCAGACATGGTGCTTAGACGAAGCCGGGTAATAATGCCACTATGATATAATTCATTAGCTAGATTATAGTAACATTATGCTTTGAATCAGGTACTTTTGTAGGATGTCGGATAAATATGAACATCCACTATAGATATTGTTGGAAACAAAAGTTTTTCCTTTTATTTTGAGAATCATGCTTAATATAACTTGGAGAAGTACCCATATCCATCCTAAATATTTTACATGCATCTGATGGAAGAATGCTAGGATAAAGGTGAATTGTATAATAACATAAAGTGTTAAGGTTTTCTATGTACCAGGCTTTGTGAGGCTTTGTGGTCACAGCTTGAAGGGTAACAATCTTCTGAAAAATTGTTCTTCTTCCTTTCTTTTTAACGTTTTTAACTTGGGGGGATATTTTTATTGCTTGTATGTGATTAACTTTGTTCTGGTATCCTGTACTTCTCTGCTTTAAATTGCAGGGTTCAAGAAATATTTGGTTGGGCATCAGTTATGACTTAATATTTTGTGAAGTTCTTGTGTAATGCAGCAAAGAAATCAGTTTAGGTTTGGGGATATTTAAAGGATTATATTTAGAAAAAGGAGGTTTGGATGGGAAGGGGGTAGCCAATTAGGAGACTATAAGTAGCAGTAGAGCTCACTTGAGAAATAACATCCATCTTCTGTGACTTTATATCTTGGATGGGGTGGCTTTTCTAAATTCAATTGGTAAATATACGAGCAATATTTTTATGGTGCATTTTATAAATTTGATTTCTTTGTCGTTCACATCTTCCTGTTTACCATGATCAAGCAACCATACCCTGGTTTTCTGGCCCTAAGCAAGCAGGCTGGTGATTAACAGTTGTGGTTTTTTTCCACAGGATGGCAATTTCATGGTTGGATGCTTGGGTTTCCCACAGGTCAGTCAATTGGCTATATTTGTTACAAAATGATTCTCTTTCTCACAGCCATTATTTTATTTAATTAAATGTGCCCAGTTTAAAACCTTAATTGGTTAAATTGGTTGAGTAACTAAGCAAGTTGCAACCCTAGCTGATGCAAGTAATGTTTTAATGAATTGTATCATCCAAAGTTTCTTATTCTTATATTTATATTTTTATAATTGTTATATCTTAAGAGAGTAGTATGAGGCTACTTTTGACTAAAGTTTTCTCTCTGGGTATGTATATTTACTTGTCATAATTATTGTGACACCTCTTCGCTATATACTTTGCCAGTGTAGGAATGCTGTTTGGCTCCCTGGATCTATATTAGAAGCAGCAGTGACTAGAAATATCTGCAGCTCCTGCAGTCCAGGTTTGACCTTTACTGTTTCATGACTCCAAATTTAGTAAATCACTGCTCGCTTAAAGGGATTTTAATTAGACTGTTGGTCCCAATCTATTTTCTGCAATCTAGGTTTATGCTTAGGATCTTACTGTTGAGTTTTCTGGGGGCACGTAGCTGAATAAATTTAAAAATTTTCCAAAAAAACTTTCTAGGTTTCTTGTAGATCCATATGTGGACAAGGAAGGGATGCAAGATACTACCTCTAGTGATGCATGTCTAATTGGTGCGTTTTACTAATTCTGTTGATTTGTGGAGGTCTAGAGTCCGAAATAGAACTCTTCTAGTGAAATCCACATACACGTCTCCAGGAACAAGGGAAGACTGAAGTCCCTGAGTGCTAGTTTGAGAAATCCGTGGCTTGACCTTCTCTTCTAGGTTGTGATTCAAAATCAAGGAGAATAATTTTGTGCTTTTTTTGTTATAAGGTGTTGTTAATTTTTTTTTTCTTCTCTCTTATGCGCATAGGGTATAAGATTTTCTTAACTCAAAAAGATTTCTTAATTCTCTTATTTATATAAACAGGTCTAGTTTTTAGACTACTAAAATAACTACTAGTTCTATCAAGAGTAGAATTACTTATTTTAGTTTTCTAGTCCAAGTAGGAAACCAAGAAAATTTCTTTCCTTATCCCTTATGCTCACTCCTAGCCAAATTTGGTTAGTTTGGTCATAGGAGCTTTTGCATGAAATACACCTCCGTTAGCTACTTTTAGTCTTTGGGGAGTCTTGAAATAATTAAAAAAAAAAAAGTAACGTAGCGGAAATAAAACATTTCTAAATTATAAAATGTCCCTTTGTAAAAATTCCTGTTTGCATATCATATAAAATATAACTAATGGAAGAAAAATACTTATAAATGGAAAACCAATTTACCAAAATATATTTTAAAAAAGATATAAAATGCTCAAAAGTTATGAAATAACATAGCCTAAACCTATTTTTCATTGATTTATAGATTAAATACATATAAACGATTTACACAAAAATAAATGAGAGCAAATATTTTTCAAAAGCTTTTCAAAACAATAAAAGTAGAATGATCATTTTGGTAATACATTGATCTGCCTTCACATCAAAAAGCATTGAGATCCTAGTTTCTATGTATAACGAGCATATGGTAACTATACTGAAAGCTCTCAAATTGGTGACTCTAATCTACTGATCTGAAATGAGGAAAAATATCATGAGCTAAAAACCCAATAAGTATTAAGTTAAAGTTACAAATTGGGATCCTAGCACCTCTAGACCTATACATACAAAGACATAATAGACAATTAAGCCAAATCACATAATATTATAAATTTTGATAATTAAATAATAATTTAGTATCATAAAATAATTCTAAGACAACCGTGCATATGAAGAAATAACCAATGACATTTAATTTAAACTTAAGTCATAAAATCATATACTCACAAATGAAAGATCACAAGTAAAATGTATAAAATAAAATCACACAATACTATGGAATCCATTGATATGTGCTACCAATACTTGTACCAGAGCTAATCATGGCACTTACCTTACTGCACAGAAGTCCATTAAATACCCCAAAGAGTCTACTAAATACCCCAAACTTTAAGTTTAGGTCCACTTATTTTATGGCCATAAACACATACAAATGTGAAATAAATTCAAAATACATTCAAAATAATATAAAAATATTATTTCATTTAATATTTTACTTAATCAATTGCATTTCCAAAACAATCCACTTTAAAAATCTCATGTCTAACTATAGATTTCACTAACAAAGTTAAAATTGATTTCTTATTTTAACAATGCAATTAATGCATGATCAATCAACCAAACTCAAGCCCAACAAGTCATGGGTAGCACCCAAACTTCAATTAAGCATTCACACAATTATACAGAGAAATACCAAAACTACAATACCAAGTAATTAACCAATGAAATTCACACAGATTCAAGCAAAAAAATTAAAACCCCCTTCTAATTCAAAACCAGACATATACCTAAAATTCTAAATATTTCTAAACAAACATCTAACACCAAAAAATCTTTTAAACAAAGGATCTAAAGTCAAATTTTATTAATTTAAACTAATTTTTAATATATTATAGTAAATCTATAATTTACTCAAAACTTTAACCCAAGTTTATAACTTAACCCAAGTTTATAACTAAAACTCATACTTACCTATGTAATCAAAACACCAAATTGAGGAGAACAGTAAAATTAATAGCAGAAGTTGAAGAAGGTCACTAGGTTGTCCGCTCCATGCTGCAATCTACAAAAACCTCCTCTCCTAGTGGAAGCTCAAAAGAGTAAAGAGAAATGGGTTTTCAGGAGTTTAACTCGAAAAGGGACTTTCCTTTCCTAAAATCTTCCAGAGGAAGCTCGGCTGCTCCACAAGACTTTCCTAGTTCAAGACAACACACTTGGTTGTCATGTTGCCACTTCTTCATTTTAGCTAATTTAGTTAGATAGTTTCTAATTATTTCAAGATTTTACATAAAGTTTATATACTCTAAATCTACTCAGTTTAATTTCTAAAATGTTAAAATAAAAGACTTTAATTTTTAATTTATTTATTAAAATATATGGGATGTTACAGTGTAACTACCATAGGTCGAGCTAGACTGTCTCAGTTCACTTTTCTTGAACCAAAATAGATTAATTTATTTAAGTTCATTGGGCCTTTATTTCAGGAGCTCGATTAATTTATTTCTAATGAGAATATAATTTTCACCTAAATTTATCCTCGATTCCTAATTTTAAGATGCCATAAATCCTTTTCTTGGGTAAACGCACTATTGCGTGTAACCCGTAGGTTTCTAACATGTTCGTAATATGATAACCGTACAGATTGTAAGCAAATGTCTAGCAACACATCCCACTAAAGTGACAAAAATGTTGTTGGCTTGGACAAAGCTTTTCAATACAGATTAATGTGTTATTCAATTCTTTCGATAGCCAATATCTCGATCAAACACATAACATAGATTGTTATCTCTGCATTAGCCCCACCTTAATTTTCTTTTAACATTTAAGATAGACAAACTTTCTAAATGACTTCTGCGCTCCTGATGTTGCCATAGACTGAAGCCCTTTAATTTCTCGAGCAAAGGGCTAGAGACTTCTATTCTATTGTGGTAGTGACGAATCATATCATATCACTCCCTACCTTCATACCATTCGTTACTGTAGTACTTGCATCCTCATATTAAGGCTACATCTAATAGCCTCAAATGTAGAAGTCCTTGTGGAACATCCCTCCCTGGATAAACCGCATAGCTTGTCAGATAAAGGAATCAGTTTCTCCAAATATAAATTCAAGTGCTCTCATTTAGAAAGTAAATATGAGGTTTGAGACATTTTAAGGTTGAAATCATAATAAATAGAGAAAAACTTGTGTAGAAAAGAAAGCTTGATGTATTAATAGGTATAGAATTTGTGTAGTTGCTTGAAAGAGATTTAGAGTGTGCAAGACAAAACAAACAAGGAATCTGAGAGAGTTCTTTAGTTAGTGCATTTGGAAGAAAGAACTATTCATGAAAACGAAAGACTCAGCTTTTCTTTATGTACATATCCCAACCTCAAAACTTAGTACAAAATAAATTGAAGATCACAGAGCCAAAGTTTAGTTTTGGGTAGATACAAATTTGTGTTGCTGACTACTTAGAAGCATAGCTCACAGTTTGAATAGAACATCCACCAAAAAGACTTTAGCATCAGCAGCTACACATGCACTGGTACCATCTAAAATCGTGGAAGAAATGCCCTGAGCTCACAACCCAATAAGGATAATTCCTAACTTTAAGTTGATGTTCCACAGTTCATTATGCAGAAAATTCCAAACACCAGTTCCTAACTTGTTCTAATCATACTGAATTAAGATACTGAAGCCTTAGCAGAACACTCATACAGACATAGACATTAAATAAGAATAACACATCAAGTAGGAGTCCACTGAATGTGCATACACTCACATTTAGGTGTCAAAGCTAGTAGCAGCACTTACTTACCATGCAGAGGTCCACTAGTTACCAGTTCTAACCCCTAAGCCTAAGCTGGGGAACAAACTCTCCATAGTTTCCAAGGCAATTATAGACACAAGCATATACAGTATAAACGCATGCATAACATGGACAATACTACTTAACATGGTCTGTAGAATCAATAGAATGCAAGCATAGCATATTCTTAGCTCAGGTCATTTGCAGAGCTTAGTGTGGTACAGGCCTAACATGTTCATCTCAAACTTGAACTGATTAAAGTACAGTAATGGCATTGTAAATCATAATTGTTGAGTGGGAAAATCCCACATTGAAGATATAACAAAGAAACATATGGTTAAATACAGTAAGGGTTACTCCACCTATTTTCAGTTGGTTGAATTAGATGTAAACCTTGTGCTGAAACTTACATGCTCCATTTTCACAAATATCTTCACTGCCTATACAACTATTCTACAAAAACTAGGCTCCACTATAGATTAATTCTAGTTCACCATATTTATTTGCTTATACTGGTACCTATGTTATATAGCATTCATTTACAAAACTTTCTTTTTGCATGTTCTTTCTAGCTTCTTCTTAATATGTTAATATGTTTGTCAATCTAGAGTTCTAGACTTAAATTAAGATTTACACTTACCACACACTTGTTCTAAGTTCTAAACCAAGCAGAATTCCTCAAGAATCTCCAAGTCTGCTTATTTGCATATCTGTGGTCTTCCTCCTTCCCTTTCAGCCAGCTAACAGGAAAATATATAAAATGGCTAAGTTAGTTGTAAGACACTGATATACTCCCTCAGACAAGTTTAAGTGGGTTTTAAATGCTTCTCACTTAGCCAAACTTTATCTTAAGACACTTGTTATTGATATTAACGGGTTAATACAAACCTGGACTCCGCTAAACTAATTTTTAAAATTAACGTGCAACTGAAAAGTAACGATTCTTGCAGATCAATCCCTAGTTCTATGTACTGTTAGGCCTCGTTTGGAATAGAAGATTGGATTGGATTGAATAAAATTTAAGGATAAGATTGAATTAGATTAGATATGATATTATATAATAAAGTCCTAGGAAATGTTTGGGTGATTATTGGATTAAAGTAAGATTAGACAAAAAAAATTATTTATATGAACAAAATTACCCTTATATTATAATGAAATCTAATAAAATTTTATTTTATTTATTTATCATTAATCATAATAACATTTAATAATGAAATTAATTGAGATAATTATAAGATAAAAAAATTGAGATAATTGAGATAATTATCATTAGTCATTTTTGTCAAAAACAATTATAATAATTATTAATTAATTAGTTTTTTTTTTTATAAGCTAATTAATTACACATTAACTACAACAAAATTGTAATTAACTGTAATAAAAAATTTTCATTGTTCTCAATCAGTCAGGCCACAAAACTGATAATAAAAAAAGTTGAAGTTCAAGGTAAGTCGATGGTCGACGCTCATGTCTTCTGCCTTGGGGAACGTGCAAAGCTGGAAAAAGCCAGGCTCCGGCCATGGTCTCCCATTCATGGGACTGTTGGTCG